CCCCAAAACCCCAAAACCCCAAAACCCCAAAACCCCAAAACCCCAAAACCCCTTCTGACTTCTCTATTTGAAATATAGTTTAATGAAGTAGCTAAAAGAATAGATCCTCCATATCATTATTGTGATGCCTTGATCTTAGCATAGCTCCTTCATTGATACGTGAATCAACCGAGTTTGTGATATCATCCTCTTCAAAACCTTTGAATGGCTTTTCTTCCATATGATTTAAAATTTTGTTCATATCATTGGCCTCACTCTCTGCTTGACTGAACTCGGACATACATCCTTTGCCATTCTTTTTCAAGATCATTGGATCGTACATTGGGCCATTAAGATCTATGGTATCTCTGCCATATACATTATTAATATCATCCTGCCTTGGACAGTCTGATAGCTCTTCATCCTCTGACCCAGACTCAGAGAAGTCAATTTTGATTTGAGATTTTACCCCTTCTTGAGCAGGAAGTTTTGAAGCATTATCATTTTGTGAATTAAAGTTCCCAAAGAGAGCTCTTTCTTTTGCTTTTAAGTAAGCAGCTTTTTCGAGTTTATCATTCCCAAAATCAGCTTTCATAAATTGTCTCTGAGGTATAGCGTAATCCTCTGATTTTTCAGTGGAGAAAACACTAATGATTTCAGGTTCTTCACCAGTCTTTCTCTCATGATAATTTCTTCTAAGATTATGTTGTAAACGCTCTCCATCCACATGAAGGTGACTGTTTCTTCCTGGAACGGAGAAGGTGCTATAAGTATGACTAAACCTATCCTCATAAATAGTTTTTCATGTTTCTCTTTTATTACCGTTTTCCACATCACATGACTCATCGACGTCTTCAAGGATTGTCTTCAGGCCTTCGTCCTCCTTCCTTCTCTTCTCATGGGATAACCTCCCTTTGGCCTTGAAGAGACTTCTTGCGTTAAAAAGATCTTTCTCATTAAATTTATTGGTGTAGTACTTTGATTTGATTACCTTGATAGAGACCAGCAATACAGCAGTCAAGATTGCGATTGAGCTAGAATACAGAATAATCTCTCTCTGTGAATGTACATATGTCTTCATTTTGGTCCAGTCAATATAGTTCGTGTAAGCCCATACAGGCTGGCTCAATTTCTTATTCACACCTGGGGTGTGAATAACTCCAGGCTCTTGCTTCTTTGCACTCAGAGATCCTGCAGGTTCAGTTGTATTGGCTACTTTTGGGACTGAAACTTTGTTGTCTTGTAAAATATTGTTCGATCTTAGTGCAAACGATCATGAAAGCGCCATAATCAGCACTAGAACAACAATTATTGATCTGTGAAGCTTTGCCATATTGAAAATATTATAAAAGTTCTGGTCAATTTCGAAACTTAGAAATGGGGTTTTGGGGTTTTGGGGTTTTGGGGTTTTGGGG